AGAGCATTAGTCGTCAAAAGTAATTCCAAAAATCCCTCCTAAGAATGCTGTGATTGTTTCGATTCGTATAGTAATTTTTTGTTGTATATGTGCTTAACTACATATATTAGGTATCTGTTTCCAACAATCATAATTCAGAAGAAATTTGAAAATAGCAACTTTTCTTTTTGTAAAGCCGACCAGTACGAATTTATATCATTCGGAAAGAATGGAACTCAAAAAGTAAAATTAGAAGGTATAGGACCTTTGGCAGTCTAACGGCTAAACTACTAGAAATTACGGTTGCGAAGCTTGTCTTTCAGAGCAAGTTGACAATAATATTTGTTTCATGCAAAGTTAAAAAGCGCATGGTTTTTTTCTACCTAGTTCAAATCGTATTGGGTGTATTTTAACATGTACTGAATTGCGTGGACAGCAGAAAAAACACACAGTAAATGCAAGAATAAAATGATCAGACTCAATGTTAAGGGCAGTAAGAGACAAAGGTAGCAGATACAAAAGTTTTTGATTGCAACTTCAATGGACAATAATGAAGTTGCTTTTAGGAACTTGTTAACAAAATGAGAACAGCTGATGTTGACAAAGCGGGTCCAGGAGACTACAAACTTGATTGGGGAAAGAAAGAGACGGGTACCTCCGACAACAGCAATAATGAGTTAGTATAACCAAGAATTTCTCAGATTTTCACTATAAAGCTGATACAAAAACTCCATTCAGTCTCATCGTCTTTGTTAACGAAACTCTCTACAAGAAACCTGTCTACGCCAATCTGCTCAGTGTGGTGCAAAATAATCTCTTCACTCATGACGTAAGAGAAAATTACTTTGATTTTTCTATAGTCCGTAATGCACTGTGTGACAACTATTATATCCAGGTCTGCACTGCTGAGCCGGCAATGTCCGGTTTCCGAAAGACACAGCTGCAACAACTGATGGATACATGGACGTCAACACAAGTTTTCAATCTCGCCTTCCAATTTTTGCAAGAGAATGGTATGCGTACAATAATAAATCTGACCGTTTTTGGATTGCCGGCAACATTTGCGCGTAAGCAGCGGCAAAGCGTGTCCTATGGCCATTTTATTCGCGCAATTCGCAAGTAGGTTTTGGCATTAGTAAGTATGGTAACTGTTTCCGCACAAATGATATTATCGCGCGAGGACACTAGATATGTCAGCCGTCAATTTAGAATGTAAATCTT